TTAAATTTCAGCACATGTCACAGGGCTAGACTATCCTAAGAAAAAGATTACTTATTTGAAAACAGGGTGCTTCATTACTATGACACGGATAATGTCATAGTAATCAATTTAGAATTTAGAATAGTTGGTAAAAATAAAATATTTGCTGATCACAGAGATATTTAAAACTCTTCCATGCCAAAAGGAGTTAATTTTTTTTTGGTAAAACTAAATCTGTTTTAAAATGAAATATTCTTCTGATTAAAAACCCTAAAACAGAACCCTAAGGCAGAAATTTCTAACAACACTAAAATGGAACTACAAATAGAACCTGTATGAGAATCACTGCCCTCAACACTCTGCTGGGGTGACTGTTTAAACTATTTTGGAAAGAAACCATTAGATCTCTTTCTTAAACAATATGACAAGGTAAATTCCAAATCAACTGACAAAGAAATGTAAAACGGAAACAGAAGAGCACATGAAAGGGGTGAGGCAGCGTATGTTATTTCAGTGGGAAAGGACTTTTAGAATTTCACACAAATGCAGACGCAGAGAGGAAAAACCAAGAGTGAGCTGTGAGCCTGCTGTTTAGAAAGTCGTGTAAACAGTGTTAAAACCACCAAGTTTACACAGATAGAACACAGACAGACAAGGCATGTAAATGGCATGTGCAGTGTGTCATGGAAAGTGAATGTGTCACGAAATGAGCCGGCGTCCAGACTGGACCTTTTGCCAGAGGTGATGCCAGACAAGCACTGAGCCTGGACGGTCTGCCGACGCCCTGTGTACTGTAGGACGGTCGAGGCTTTTGTATAAATTAACTTTGAATGAAGTAGGAACTTTTGAAAGCCTTTCCAGGACCACTACCCTGGGTTTCTGGAGTTTGCTAAGCTGATTCTGTATGAGTCTGTCCACAGCTACCTTCCTTCTTATGTCCTGGGAAGAACCGTAGTTACAGGACACCAGCTGAGGAAAGCTTCCCACACAGACGTGCACGCACAAGGCACATCAGAAATGAGCACAAATGTTGTAGGAGGTCCTGGAAACACAGTGTCCATTTATGTGGAGACAAAACTGAAAACATCCTAGAATACTGAAAATGACTTGCCAGAAAGTAGCCCTAAATCAGAATCGGTAATGCTGTTCTCCAGAAACAGATGGTTGTACAACCATTGACAAAGTATTTTCTGCTTGTTAAAATGTCATTGATTCAAATTCATCTCTTGCCTGGAACTTAGGTCCATGAAGGACGCCTGTTTAGAGCAATGCCATCTACAAAGGACCCAGGTGACAGAGGTTGTGGGTCTTGGGCATGAGATCCAGCAAGGACTTCTGGGTCCCATCAGGAACACTAATCCTTCCATCAGACAGCCTGAGGCTTGGTGTTCTGGCCCTTAAAGCTTGGTGAAAACACAAGCCTCCTGAGGCTGCTTTTCCACTAGTGCAGGCAAGATTCCTGTGTCTCAAAGTGTGCAGGCTCATGAGTGAGCCACGGATGATTCAAGGCTAAGGGCTATGCCTTCCCAGTTCTCAGCTCCTGCACATAAACTGCTAAAGCTCTTCATCCGACAGCCACCCCGAACTCATGACGCCCTGTGCCCAAACACATCGCGGGACGGCGCGTGCTGCCACTCATGTGAGATTTCAGAACCACGTTCGGCAGCGATCAGGCTAGTTCATACCTGCCCTTGTGGGACTTCATCCCTCTTGTCTCTGTCCATCATGGGGATGGGCTGTATCCCCAGTTTCTTCATTTCATCACCCTAAAGTAGATGAAAGGAATTATTCTCTTAGTTTCCAGATAATTATACAGGGTATTAGTGAGTTTTCCCCTTTACACATTCATTTTCTTTAAAACAAATGCTTCACGTCCCAAGAGGCATTTACAGTGGTGGCGCTCTTCTGTCACTGTGTAGTAGTGCACTGGGGTTGTAAACACCCAGCTGTCCCTCTGGTACTGTGAGGCATGGTGGTGGGGGGCAAGACAAATATACAGAGGTCCCCAGCCCACCCTCACTTCCTTTCCTTTCTTTCCTTTGTGTAGAAATGGGTGAAACTTGGCCTTAGGGTTTCGGACGGAAGATGGAGGGGCACTGTTCCTGAACCATCAGTGAGGGTCCATGACAACCCATACCGCAGCACCACATCTGTGCTGTGGGTGATAATACCGTTAGCAGACTTCCTGAATGTGAGGCTCAGGACAAGCAGCTTGGAAATAGGATTTCAGTTAATCATCTAGAAATGGTGCAGGATGGAAACATCCCCACTTGCAGCTCTCACAAAGGATCTTGCTTTTTATCTGTTAAAGCTTTAGTCAAGTGTTCTTTCTGCTTCACAGTTTTTACAAACCCCAGCTTTCCTCATGTCTTCAGTCCTTTAGGAATTTCGATGATGTCCCTTCCCGAAATCACAACTCTCGACGGAAGTCTTCCAGGGTTTGTTAGAGTCAGAGATAAATTTCTATACCCCTCAACTTCCACACCCTAATCCTCATCCTATAGCACCAGGTAGCTGAGGGTGGCCTCTCCTTCACCCCATCACTTAGGATAAAAATTGGAGCTTATCGGAAGTTCCCTTCTCTATCCAAATGAGTGACGGCCATGAACCCCCTTGTTCATAAAGACTTTACGCATCCAAAGAGGAAACAGACTTTTAGATAAATGATGTCAGTGTGTACTTAGAGCGAGGGTTAACGGTGAAAAAGAAACCCGCCCAATGACACAGACAGACACTTCCAGTGGCTTTCAGAGACTGGGTTGCTGGCAGAGCAGGAGGTGTGGGGATCTGAACCCTGAGCTTGTGATTTTGGATTCTGTCACAACAGTGGCAGAGGATCTGAAGTTGGTGGTGCCAGAGCCGCGTGCTGGAATGCTCTGAGGCCACAGGACCAAAGACCACAGGCCTCTTGCCGTTCACTTTTGAGAGGCTCAGACCGGGGGTGCTGGGGGAGCTGCGGTGACCCGGCATGAAGCAGGGGTGTATGGGGAGGGGAGGAGACACTGGACTTCAGGGGTTCAGATTAACTGGCAGAACGTGGAGCATGAGTCCTGCAGACTGCTGACACGTGTGCTCGTGGACTCAATAATGAATGAGAAGTAATACCAAGGGGATCTGCACATTTCTGTCACATCTCCGTAATGTTTAGAATTTAAATGTAGCTGGTAAAGTATGAAACGCACTGCCTGTAAAACTGTGAAACAAAGGTGCAGTCTTCTCAGGGAGAACTTATGAGATGCCCTGTAGGCTGCACCAAGCTGACTGTGGAAATGAGGTTATTATGCAGCTGAAACCAGTGTATCTCAGTCGCTTTCATTAACTGAGCCTGCTGAGTTCTGATACGCAATGACAAGACAGTCCCACCAAGGTGCCAAAGTGCATGTGTGCCATGTAGGCAGTGCCCCAGAGCACCCCCACAGTGTGCTCTGACATGTGCTCAATCATCAGCCACAGAACTCTCTGCCCACCACATTTTCAATTATCTTTTCAGTTGGATGCAGAGAACCCAAAGGGCTTACAGGTCTTGACCAAACACACGTTACTAATGCTTAGACACTTTCCAGGAGGACGTTAGCAGAAGTGTCTACACCCTGCTCAGGAGTAGAGGATTAGAATGCTACACACGGTCTGCAGCATAGGAAACTGGAGGCGAGCTGGCCAGAGGAGACACTGACAAACTCTCAGGACTGAGGTGCAGAGGGGTAACTCTCCCCAGCTCCTCACTGCCCACTGCTGACATATATAGCCCAGGGCTTCAGGGCCCACTGTGTCCAGAGCACATCTAAAGCAAAACCCAGTAATGCCTACCAAATGGATAAGGTTGGCTATCAGGTAAGGAAAGTTGGCACACCAATACTCAGTGAACAGGACCCGTAACTCCTTCGGCCGAGATCAGAGAATTTGCACAGATAGACAAGTGAAATGTAACACAGAAGTTCTCACTTTATGTCAACATAACTGTTGAATTCATCATCCTGTGTGATGGACCACAGTTTACCAAAGTAACTCCCAACATGACCAAATAAGATGCTAGGTAAATTACCCGCATATTTTATTCCTGCTGAATACTTTCCCATTCCTTGACAATATCTAAAAATGTAAGAGGACATACCTCAGCCCAGAATTCTGCATAGATATCATTTGCCGTCAGCTGTGTAACTGGCCATAGTTTTGTCACAGAACAAAGATCACAAGCAGTCATCATCAACCCAATCACGCGGTCTCTAGAAGACAAAGAGAACTGGTGAGCGGAGCATTTGAGTATTTCCAATGGGTCTGCAGGGACTGAGTCTCCAGGAGTGACATTTGCCTGTGTGTCCTTTCCTGATGGGAGAGAGCATTGACACAGAGCCCGGTCACAGGTAGAACAGCAAAATGGAACTAAAAGACAGTGTGGCTTTGACTGCAAACACAGCAGGCTCGTCTACCCTGAGTCCTCCTGGTACTCTACCCCCCTGGGCAGCGTCACCACTGAAAGCCAATACAACAGGACCATGCTCTGCTACCTTCCAAATTCCCTGGCACACCTCAGAGCTATGGGCCAGGCGCTCATTTTCACACAGCCCTGGAAGTTGGAGTGGGAGGACACCTGGAGAGAACATCTGTCCAACACTTTCACTCTGAAGTCTGAGGTGGGCAAAAATGATTGGCTTCTCAAGGGGAAGGCAGCATGACCAGGTCTGAGAAAGACCTGGGTGTGCGGTGGGCTTGCATGCCATGCACAGCATGATGGGACATTCTTCCCTAAGGCTCTGCCACTTGGCAAGAAGTCCTGTTCAAACTCATCCTCGGAATTCTCCCTTCAGCTGCTTGGCATTCAAAATTATGCACTCTGCGTCTGCCTCGCTATTTTTCTAAGCATAACTAAATCATTTCTCATAAAAAATAATAATTGCTTAAAAACTCAAAGAGACAGAGCCACAGTAATGTTGCTGGGTTTGGTTAGTGATATTTGATCCAGTAAAATGAAGAAAGGAATTTTAATATCCTGGCCTTAACTTTACTAAAGCAAATTGTATCATTTATATGGATAAATTAGCATCAGAGATACAAAATTATGTAGAAAGTGAGATGACATAATTTCCGACTCATGTAGTTAATGAGTCTGAGGGACACAGCCTCACTTCTGATCTATAGATCCTTCCATGGGGGTTGGGAGGGCTCACTCACCCCTGACCACAGGAGACAGTCTATCAGGAGCATCTGTCTGTCAAGGTGGCAGGGGGCTCTAACCTCGTGCTCTCCAAAGGTTCCTGACCACCTGGGAGACCGTGCTTTCTGTGAACCAATCCTTGATACCAACCAATTACAAATGCTGTTCTCCATAAGTCCACTCAACTAAGCCTTCCAATTTGGCTTTCCAAAAGGGTACATTCCAAGGGCCTAGCGCATCTCCCACAGGTGAGACTAGAGAATGGAAAAATGCTGGCTAAAGCAATGCATGGCCTCTGTAGCCCCAAGCAGGCCATACAGGAAGACTCGGGCAGCTTACAGTGACCAGGGGAATGTGGGATTCCTCAGTGAAATGATTTGTGACTTGAAAGGTCAAATGTTTTTGAGTTTGAGCTTCTAAAGAAATAAGTATATTATTTCTTCCCTCAGTTGGTAAACTCATTTAAATAGATGTAGAATGTTAAAAAACAAAATGTTTACAAATAATTACTTCATAAAATTGAAATGCAATCTCATTCCATCTATATTCACCAAAACATTTATATGCTAAATAATATAATAAACTTTAATCTGAAAGGCTATTTCTCATTTCAGAAATCTGTAAAACAAAAGAAATGTTAGTGGCTCTGGGTATTGTAAAATATGGAAGCATTTTTCACTAGAAACATTTATATGTAACATGTTAATATGTGGATTAAAAATGTGACATTGTTACTGCTTAGATCTCATTGTCGAAATTACTTAGACAAAACAATGTAACAGTCATTTTACTGCTGACTGAACAAAGTAAACAGACTGGAAATTTGGCATGAAATCCTTTATTAACTATAATTACTTGGTTTTACTCTCACTTATAAATCAGTTAGATGGTCATGGCTGTTCAGAAATGTTAGAGCCAATGTTTCATTCTGTTCATGAATGGATGCAGACCCGCCTACCTCGGATCTGAATTGGGAGTAGTACATTGGGAGCAGCACCAGTATTAGGAATGGAGCGCATGCTGAAAGCACTCAGTATAACCTGCTGCAGCCCAGTCCCTGTAAACCACACCATGAGAGCAAACCAACAAGGGATCCAAACATCCCTAGTCCCTCAGGAAACTTCAGATGGTTTGGCTACATTTATTTGATCCAGCACATGGTAAAGGCCTGTGTATTCCAGGCAGTTCTAGAGTGCGAGCCTCTGCTCTCAGAGAACATTCCAGTAGGGAACAGCAGACGGCTCACAGAAGTTAGAAAGCTTTATGCAGCATCCAGGGCTGCCTGGAAATCTCAGGAGAGAGGAGCCCACAGCAGCTAGGCGTGTGCATGTAGGCAGAGGAAGCATACACACCCAGGAACAAGCTGAGTGAGGCCACAGAGGACAGACATGAAGCCTGGGCCAAGCCAGCAGCCGAATGTTCATCCCGGGTGAAGGAAGGTCACAGAGGCTTTTCCAAGAGGGAGGGGACAACTGAAGTGGCTTAGATGCCACATGACAGGATATACTGGGATGGATTTGATGGCACGTGATGGTGGAGCCCAGGGAACTTTATTAGGGTGCTGAGCCTACTTGTCTTGCTCCAGACAGCGTGTTTGCCATGAAGATGTCACCCGAGAGCTTAAGGAGGGCACAAAGCCCAGGGAACTTTATTAGGGTGCTGAGCCTACTTGTCTTGCTCCAGACAGCTTCGTGTTTGCCATGAAGATGTCACCCGAGAGCTTAAGGAGAGCACAAAGCCAGCTCTGAGGAGGTGAAATTAACAGAAGATCGAAGCTTGGCCTTGCAAACCAGAAAACAATGTGAACAGTATCGAGGACACTGCACGCAAAGCTCTCTGTGACCCTGAACTGTCAAGATGCCGATAATTCCCAAACTGACCCAGAGATGCCGCATCAACCCCATCAAAAGTCTCAGCTATTACTGCTTAAAAGACAGACAAAGGGCTGGAGAGATGGCTCAGCAGTTAAGAGCACTGGCTGCTCTTGCAGAGGACCCAGGTTCGATTCCCAGCACCTACATGGCAGTTTACAACCGTCTGTAACTCCAGTTCCAGGGGATCAGATGCCCTCTTCTGACCTCCATGGGCACTGCATGACAGGGGTGCACTCACATACAGGCAGGCAATACATAAAAGTAATAAAAATATGTTTTAAAAGACAAAGATGCAGATATGAGAGCGAGCAGCTGGGAAGAAGCACTGTACGCCAACAGCACGAAGAGGAACTTGGTCGGCGGGGGGCGGGGGGGTGTCACGTCTCCCACTGATGAGAGAGATAGATGGAGAATAAATACAAATCCAACATGTGAGAATCAAAAACATACGTCTGGAAATGAGAAAAATCTATAAAATAACCCATGCAATCTTATTTTAAAAAGCTACTGTGGACATAAACTAAAAAACGCAATTCTTGACTAGAAAATCACATAATGATTTTAGAAAAAAAACTACCCCCCCCCCCGTAAATAAGGCAATGTAACAATTCAACTCAAATATCAGCTAGGGACCTGGAAATGAGAAAAATCTATAAAATAACCCATGCAATCTTATTTTAAAAAGCTACTGTGGACATAAACTAAAAAACGCAATTCTTGACTAGAAAATCACATAATGATTTTAGAAAAAAAACTCCCCCCCCCCCCAGTAAATAAGGAAATGTAACAATTCAACTAAAATGTCAGCCTGGGTACTCATGGCAGGAAAAGTCTGCAGCAGAGCCCCCTTGGTTTGTAACCAGTCACGTGAGGGACATACTACCCACCCTCACTCTGAAATGGCAGGGATTGGGGGCGGGGCAGAAGGACAGGAAGCAGTAACAGCTGTGAATCAAGTGCTTAGGAGTGAACATTTAATCACATCATTTTTCCGTCAGCTTTAAGATTTTCATGAGTTGGGCATAATGGCACATGCCTTTGATCACAGCACTCCAGAGGCAGAGGCGGGTGGATCTCTGTGCATTCAGGGCCACCGTGGTCTACGTAGCAAGTTCCAGGCCAGCTGGGGCTACAGGGAGACCGTCTCGAAAAAAAAAAAAATTTCATATGAAACATTCAGAATATAGACTTACTAAGTGGCAATGTCCACGAAAATTTTTAAAGAATGTAAATGTCAGATAAAGTGCCGGAGAGAATGTGGAGAAGGGAATGCTTATTCAGTGCTGGCTGGATTGCAAACTTGTACAACTCCTATGGAAAACAATGTAGAGAACTCAAAACATGAAAAATGGACCTACCACATGACCCGGTTATACCACTCCTTGGCATGTACCCAAAGGACTCATCCTATTGTAGAGACACTTGTACAACCATGTTTATTGCTGCTCTTTTCACAATAGCTAAGAGATGGAAGCAACCTAAGTGTCCCTCAACTGTGGGGAATGAAAATGTGGTGTATTTACACAATGGAGTTCTACTCAGCAGTAAAGAAAGACAAAATCATGAAATCTGCAGGTAAATGGATGGAACTGTTATACTAAGTGAAGTAACACAGACTCAGAAAAACAAACGATGTCTGTTCTCCCTCCTTTGTGGATCCTAGAACCAAATATTTATATATCAGAATATACCATGGTACAAATTGCAGGAACCAGGAAAATGGAAAGTAACCAGGGAGGGAAAGGGAAAGAAGGCACCTGAGAGAGAACAGTGGGAGACAGGTGTTATTAAGGGGGAAATGGGTAAAATGGGGATGTTTGAATGGGAGAGGAAGGGTTACACAAGGAACTATGGGGATAAAGGGGAAGAAGGAGCCCAGGAGAGCTGGGACCATAGGAGATATGAATTATCAAGGGAGAAATGAGAAAAATGGGGATAATTTAAATGAGGAGGGTGTGGAGGAAGCACTAGACAGGGAGAAAGAGAGGAGAGATAAATAATGCCTAGCGAGTAGAAGAAAGCCACAGGGAATCATTAGTTCCAAAACCTACGCATACGATCTCTTTCCATGAATGCATGTGTACAGCTGAAGACTAAATAAAAAGAAGCAGTGCCAGACAGGAGAGACTTCCTTTGAGTTGCTGGCACAGCAAAGAACACTGGTGCAGTAGTGGCACTTTTGGGGGTAATCAACAGCTACCTAAATGGACTTAAAGCCCACTCAATGGGAGGAAACGCATGCATGGTACTATAAACCTAGTCAAATACACACAGCTGGAGAGCTCACAGATCTTAGAGAAAAATCCAAGGCTGTCACGTCCCTAGACAAATGTAATTTCTTACTATGTGCAAAATATGGATCCTTATATTTACAGACAAGTATCCCAGTCACCACCCATCAAAGAAGCTTCTTTTTTGACATACAGAGATTATTACAGAGTTCCACAACTGGTTATACACAGAGGTTTTCTGTGAATAGCTCGAGCCTAAGTGGCACATTTACGATGCAACCTCTACACTAAGGCTCACGGAACAGAGAACAAGGGAGGAAGAGATCACTAATGCATCTCTCAGTTCTCATCCACGAAGCTCCCTCTGCAACAGAGGACCAGGAACACAAAAGGTCACAAATGGCCAAAGCGTAGAAAATAAGAGTCTGCAGAGTGTGGGTCCTCGGGCAGGACTCCTGTATTAAACTTCACCCACCCAGGGCTCAGGGATCATCGTAGAAGAGGGGGTGGAAGGATTTAAGAGCCAGGGAGGAGGTGCATGGCCATATGAAACAGTCCCACAGGCTCCTGGGACCCTTCTCACATGAACCTACAGCAATGGTGTCAGCATGCACAAGACCCATGCTAACTCAACAGACAAAACCCAGCACAGATCTGTGGAAATGGGCATCAGGCCCCAATCTTAGTCAAAGAATTACTGACAGCTGATTACTGCTGGGTGAGGAAGAGCTGATCTTCTTAAGGGGATGGACTCCAGATAGGCTGACTAGATCCCAGTGGATGAACTTCCACTGAGGGACATCTCAAGACACTAACTTGACATGATAGGCCTTAACACAAATGACAGAATGCATGAACTCCAGTGGAGCGGAGGGCGGGGGAGGTGCTATGGGCAGGTGCCAAAGGGGAGGGGTATAAAGATGATTTAGATGTTCCATATGAAATACCCAGAAGTTCAATAAAAGAAAGACTACATTGCCAAGCATGTAAGGCCCTTATCAGCATAATTACAATGACCAACACAGAATGTCTTCAGTGGAAGATTAGACTAGCAATAATGCCTTCTGAAGGTAACCTCCCAATTTACAAAAACCTCAATACATTCAACTCAGTGGAAAATGAATTATTCATTAAGTGATAGTGACTCGATCCATTGAGAAGAAATACAATTTTATTAATACAAAAATTAAGAGCTAAATATAAAAATTAAACTACAAAAATATATACAGAAAACTTTACAATCTGTTTACGCTACTGTGAGATTTGATTAAAAACAAGTAAAAGATTTGGCTTTATGAAGCTAAATTTCTTTACACTCAACAGAGAACCTGTAGCAGGAATGTCACTTCCTGGTAAAGCACTCTCCTAGCTTGTGTGAGGACTGGGTTCAGTCCCTAGCACCAGACAGATAGACACACATACACACACGCATGAATCGAAAATACAAATAAAAATGTTCAATCACCTAAAGAAAATATTTGTAACGTAAGGACACAAAACTTTAATATCCTTTGCAAAAATATAGAACAGCAAATGATCTGTTAAAGAGTAAATGTGTGGGAAAGTACAACGTCATCCTCCCTCTGGTAAAAAAGGTTCCAAGAGCTGTATGAGTTTCCAGCCTTACAGAATGTAGACATGTCCTTGTTTGGAGGTAAACTGACTCATAAGCAGCTGGTGCTGAGCCAAAGGCACCAATGTCTCGTACACATGGCATTCACTCTTGAGGACATAGCCGTCATTACCACACGTCCATTGGTTTTGCAGTTGGGCACCCAAGCAGACTTCTCCTAAGACCTGAAAACCCAGACCATCCTCTAGAAAGAGATGTTACGATGGGGTCTTAAGAGAGCCCAGAAAAGAAGGGCATCGAACCGGTGACTGTCCTCCGACCTAAAGAGAAAGATGGTGCCTCTGCAGAGGGGCTGATCAGATGTGGGCAGAAGTGAAGCTGGTGTGTTCGCCTGTGAGCCATCCAGGGAGAGGCAGGTAGGCAAGCAGCATGCTCAGATCCCACACACAGGTGAGGAAGGTTCAAACAAACACACCTGATGTGGTTCTGAATCCCATGCATGAGCCATGCACAGAAGGAAAAGGCGGAACACAAAATGCACATAAAGCAGACAAACTAATTGTTTTTTACATTTCTTCTATTAAATATATACTGACGACACGATATGGTTCCTAACTAATGAGTCAGTTTATTGCAGGCACTAGTTCCTGGGCCTTTAAATGTCCTGAAGTTATTTTTACCTGTGTGATTGGTTGTGCAGATTCAGTGACCCAGTCTGGTACATCTCCTCCAACTGCTTCCTGTTCCCAAAGTACAGAGCAAGGTCAGTAGCGATGATGGCTTTCCGGATGATCTCCAGCACCTGCTCATACTCGCTGGAGCTCAGGGTGGAGAAGATGTTGTGCCCCTCCAGCTGTGGAAAGACGTAGAAGGAAGCCGATAGCAGCCACGCTCTACACACGGCATGTCCGGCTACTCCACGTGCTAGGGTAGGTCAGGCTACAGAGTGACAAGTTTGGGTGTGTAAAAGGACAGCTGCAGGCTGTAGCAGTTTAGATATTTTTAAGGCTGTAACAACTACAAACTGTCACTCACATGAGCTGTTTTACCCACAGGAATATCACTTGCTGTCACAAAACCCTAGTGACTTTACCACACCTTATTTTTTGTGTATTTCTTAGAGTTACAGGGCTAGAAAGTGGAAATCATTTCTATTAACACCTTTTATTCTTAGGTCAATTAAAAACAGTATTTTTATGTTGTGCCGGAACTTGTGCTTAAAAAAGCATCTATATCCTGAATCACATCAGGCTGCACCATAAATAAAAATCTCCTTTTCTAAGCTTACAAGGAGCAGGCACATTACACGCATTGGCAGACCTCCTAGGACACTGAAGGTGCAGTGATACCCACTGAAAGGAACAGTAAGGATATGAAAGAAAAACTGAGAGGCACCAACACCAGTCTCTCGGGGGACACCTAAAGGGGCACATGCGTGTGCCCATCACGCTATGTGGGGGTTTCGGGAAATACTTTTACCAGAGAAGGAATGCCTGTACCAGGCCTGCAAGATGAGGGACCTGGACACAGCCACAGGCATGGTCTGGGTTTGCAGGTGGGGAGAGGACACCAAGGGTCAGCAACAGGGAGAGACCATCTTTTATGTATTTATTATTTTTATTTTATGTGTATGAGTGTATTGTTTACATGTATGTAAGTGCACCTGTGCTGTGCAGTGCCCACAGAGGTCAGAAGAGGGCACTGGATTCCCCTGGAACTGGAGTTATGGACAGTCATTAGCTGCCATGTGGGTGCTGGGAACTGAACCCAGGTCCTCTGCAAGAGGGAACAGGAGTGGGGAGGGCAGGTGACAGACACTCAGGGCTGAGTGGTCAGGAGCCAGAATAGTGTTCACGACCAACTCCCAAGGAGCCGCTTGCCTGTGTGCCCACCATGGCCTGACCATAGTGGTCAACCTCCTAATGCCCAGGACCAGGACAGCAGGATGCTCAGCAGAAATCAGAGTGCTTTTTAGGGTGTGGGAGATGGCCCAACAGGAAACGACACCTGCCTAAGCCCGATGACCTGAGTTCAAGCCCTGGGACCCACAGAGGGGAAGGAGAGAGTCCATTTCCAAAAGCCGACTTCTGACCTCAACTAACTCTCAACTAACTCTCTCTCTCTCTCTTTCTCTCTCTCTCCCTAAAATGCAATAGAAATTTCAAGAGTGCTTTTTGGATGTCCTCAGTCTCCTCTCCTACCTACTCAATGAGGGTCTGGCCACTCCATCTTTCCCACTACCACCCTCCAAGGTCAGCTGGGACTAGCCAGACACTCCCCGCTTCTTTGACTGCACATGTGTGTCTGTGTGTCTACGCGTCTGTGTGTCGACACAGACAGTCAGGCCCTCTGCTTATCGCTGTTGCTGAATTAGCAGGGTTCCTCAGCTTCCCCAGATTTTCCTGCAGGTTACAGTGGAACTATGTTCAAAGCTGTTGCTCAGGTTGTTACAAATACAAAACAACCACACAGACATAGTCATGAGCACGCCTCACAGTCTTTCACCAGGCCACAGGGATGGGCACTTCTAGCCCCCGCATCTCTCATGCAGCAGTGGGCTAGAGAACCCACAGACAGCAAGACGGCCTAGGAAAGCCCTTTGCAGGTAAACAGAAGGAACTTTCCAGAGCACCGCCTCCTGCAGGGGCTGCCTATTCACCTCAGTGTACTTCCCTCTGAGCAGCTTCCTGGGAAATTCAATCAACAGCATCCAGCATCTGAATTCACCTTAAACTCAGGCTTCTCACTGGAACACACAGCAAAGTCGAGCACGTTGCCCAGCTCCCCACCTGGCCAGTATTCAGCAGCTCAACAGCTCTAAAGGAGATCAAGCCTGTCCATGCATCACCATAGTCATCAGGACTGAACTCTCACCTCTGGTATCTGAGACCTAAAGCATTCTCAGGTTTCTGGATGCCAGTGGCATGCCTAACCACTACCGTGATTCTGCCTGGGTGTGCTGGAATCCTCACGTGTGATCCAGAATCCCCACATGCCAAGGATTCACCTAAATGGTTGAACCACCCAGAGCCTTCATCTGTGGTGGCGATGAGGGATGCAGCCCTGCCTGGTGCGCAGGTGGGTCAGGACCCTCTCCACTGCCACCTGCTCCGTGTCACTGATATCTTCCCTGGTTGCCTCTCATTCTGCCTACAGACAGCTTGATAATCCCAGCACTTCAACACATGGATTATACGCTGCTGTTTTGGGGGTTTGTGCCTGCCTGTGGGTTAATGCCTAACTTCTAAGGGTTACTGTCCAGTGTATTCTTGCTCAAGATTAACTTTGTGAAATAAACTTTTTTAGGGATCATGTAATATTCATATAATACCTAAAAAACTGTGTTTGAAAAATATATAGTTTCAAAATTCACCTATTAATTATATCTTTTAGAAATGTTTTATTGTGTGATTTGACAATTTCATGCACGTACATTATGTTTTCTGACTACTTGCTCCCTCTGTCCTGTCTGACCTCCCTCCCATACCTGTGAAGCCACCCTCCATCCCTACCAGTCCCTGTCCCAGATCCATGACTTTTGGTTTCATTTGTGACCCTTCATTAAATTTTTTGAAAGGATTGTTCATCATAAAAACAACCCACAATTACAGCTATAAACACAAGGCAGCATAGTAAAATAAGCCATGGCACCTCCCTCTCTCTTCCCTGGAGCATTGTTGCCTTGGAGGGACCCTGGCCAGGCAGCAGCAGGACGCTTGCCGAGCAGGCAGCTCACCTGCAGGATGGACACGGTCTGTGAGAAGTGGTGTTGCTCCATGGTGGAGGTGGAGTACAGCGCTGCCAGTGGGTGGTCAAACTTCTGCAGGTAAGTGTTGCTGAAGCCTCTGTGGTCCAGGTCATGGCACAGACACGCGATGAGCAGGCCTTTGCGCTTAAAACAACAGAATGCAGCAACGTTCAAAACACAGAAGCAAGCTACTGGAGTCTCGCAGCTGACATTCACACCACATTGCTTTCTGTCCTTAATATCCAGACCCTTCTTTAAATCTTCAATCATTTTCTTTGTGATTCTACACACAAGCCTGACATTCAAGTGACACTTGAGTTTTCCTCTTAAGCTCTGGAGAAGAGACGGGAGGAACAAAAGTATCTGGGATCAACTCCGGCTGTGCCTCAGTGGGCAGCTCTGCCTCTCTAGGTCTAACAACACTATGGATAATGTTTACATATTATGTGTAACATGTAAAGACAGCATGTTGCACGGAAAGTAAGAAAAGTCTACAGGGCTCAAGGGAGGCAGGCCCCATTAAGGACAGCAGATGGGCCAGCCTCAGAAGAGCCAGAGAGGAGCCTGAGGGAGGAAGAGGGGGCAGAGGGTACAGGTAAGAGCACAGGGGAAAGGGGCACACCTGGGCAAGGGCAGAAGGGTACAGGAGCCGAGGGCTGGCAGACAGGGCACACTGTCCTCATGCAGACCTCACACACCGAGTGACGTGGGAAAGATTAGAGGGATTCCAGGACAGAAGCGTCCACATTGAACTTGCAGTTTTAGAAGATGGCTGTGGCAGCCATGGGAGGGACAAACACAGGATGGTGTGGGACACCACTGAGAGGCAAAGTTTGCAGTAACTCAGGAACCGCAGTGACCAGAGAGGGTCAGAGCAGGGTGACAGCAAAGTGTGAAAAGTGTGCACCACGTGTCCAGGCATCCCAACAGGCTTTCCCCACGGGCTGTAAGAAGCAAGGTGACAGAAGGGATCTTGAGGCTGCAGCAGGTTTGGACTCAGGTCAGCGACCGCCCTGAGAAATCCTGCAGGTTAGAGCAGGTGAGTGCGAGGTCAGGGTCCGGGCCTAGAGAGGTGAGATTCTAAGTGATGGATGAGTGGAGATTCTGGGTTGGAAGCTGTTTGAGTCTAAAGCTCTGGGAACAGGCCTCCGAGGGAAAAATGAACTGTACTTGCCAAAGCTGTATGAGGACAGAAGAGGGGAAATCTGAGCATTCCTAAGGAGTCTGAGGAAAGAGACACAATCGACAAAAAGAACCCCAAGTCCACATGGGGCAAGAGCGGCCGCTGTGGCCCCAAGAAAGCTGTGACACTGCAAAAGGAATTAAGTTAAAAAATGTTGAAAGTGCCCTCAATGGAATACAGAGGAACTTCAATTTTTTGACAGAATAGAAAATTATTTAGAAAAACTTATAGGGAGGGGGGCTGGAGAGATGGCTCAGCGGTTAAGAGCACTGGCTGCTCTTACAGACGATCTGGGTTCGAATCCCAGAACCCACATGGCAGCTAACAAGTGTCTGTAACTCCAGTTCTGAGGGATCTGACAGCTTCTTCTGTCCTCCGTGGCCACTGCACAACACAGGTGCACTTATCTACATGCAGGGAATACATACATACACATAAAAATAATAAAATATTTTTTAAAAAAGAAAAACTTATAGGAACAAAAGGCAAATTTCACCGGGTCTTTTAGAGGAGGCGGTAGAAATATATCATTAGATTAAACTCTGTTACAACTAAAAATTGTTTTAAAAAACAACAAACAAGCAAAACCCAAAAGCATTGTTTACATTTTGTACGTGTATGTGTGTATGTGCATGTATGTGTGTGACTGTGGTATATGTTGGTGTGCACACACACACAGAGGCCAGAGGAGGACATCGGGAGTCCTGTTCTGTCACTCCCTGCCTTCTTCCTTTGGGTCAGGGTCTCTCACTGAACCTGGAGCTCAGATGGTGGCCAGCAAGGCCCAGAGGTGCTCCTGCCTCTGCACCCCACAGCTCTAGGTAAAGGTGTGTGCTTGGACACAAGCAGAATTTTGTGTGGGTGCTGGGGTCCGAACTGGGGTCCTCAGACTTGCAGTCAGAGCTCTTACCCACAGAGCTCCAGGCTCTTCTCTGGTTAAGGTGGTACTCAGAGCTCTTACCACAGAGCTCCAGGCTCTGCTCTTGTAAGGTGGTACTCAGAGGTCTTACCACAGAGCTCCAGGCTCCTCTCTTGTTAAGGTGGTACTCAGAGGTCTTACCACAGAGCTCCAGGCTCTTCTCTGGTTAAGGTGGTACTCAGAGCTCTTACCACAGAGCTCCAGGCTCTGCTCTTGTAAGGTGGTACTCAGAGCTCTTACCACAGAGCTCCAGGCTCCTCTCTTGTTAAGGTGGTACTCAGAGCTCTTACCACAGAGCTCCAGGCTCTGCTCTTGTAAGGTGGGACGTGTGCCCCTCCCTTGCACCTTGCAGGATCTCTGCTCTGACTGTGAATGTGATCTGAAGGGGTGGGAAATTACTGGACAGATCTCAGGAGTAGTGGATGTTGTTTGAATGCAACCTTGAAGCAAGTCCAATGCATTTATGTCAGAGGTGACAGGCCTGCCCCCCCAACAGCCTGGTGTGTGACACTGATTTACAGAGAGGAAAAGAAGAAGGCTGACTGTGGTGCCAGGCCAGTGACTCGGAGGGACTGGGTTTGCCTGTCTACGGGCTCGGCATCAGGGGTGCCATCACTCATTCCCACCTCTGGGCAGAATAGGAAGGCCCAAAATCCTGTGAGCTTGGGAATGCTCCCAAGATGGCACCAACTCTGGGTGTCTAGGGCCAGGCAAGTCAGCTATACACCCTCAAGCCCATTTTCTTATGCTGGAAACAGAAAGCACTCACGTCTTGATGGTATTTAGGCTCCGTTGCATAGTCTATGATAGCCAGGGTGTGTGGGTGATGAGAAAAAGTCTCTTAAATATTTTCAGAGTTTTCAGCTTTAATCAGGAAGAAAGGGTTAAAAAATACAATGCTTCCATGAGAGACATTTTGGTGCACTGAAATTTCTATCTGTCCCTTTTACAGTGACTATAACACATACTTGGGTGCTGAAGCTAAGCACGTCAAATACCATGTTGTAAACGGTTCTTGACATGGGCATTAAATCCCTGAGCTCTCTGACAAGGGGGGAACACGCAGACCCACCTCGAGGTCTGTGAAGAGGCCGTAGTTGTTCTGGAGTATGGCGTACATGCAGTGTGCCACCGTGACTGCGTGCTTCCAGTTGTGGTAAGGAACCCGCCGATAGTTCTTCTTCACAGACATAATAAAACGACACAACTTTTCAAGTTCAAAGCTGTGTGGAGAAGAGACCACTGTGGCAAATCCACCATGGCATCCTGCATTCCGGGAGAGCCTCTGGCTGACTATGCATGTATCTGCTCCCGACACCCTGGTGGAGTCCCACCCTGGCTGGCCAGGAACTCTGCAAACACACACATCACTTCCTGCCCTTCTCCAGCCATAAAGAAGAACCCACAAAAACTAACAGCTTCTGCTCAGCAGGCGGGGGCAGCCTCCCATCCTTAACCCCAGTAATCTCCGTGGCCAGCTACCCTTTCGAGGTAAATCTGAGGCATATGGTGCACTCAAATTATTGAGTGACAGATGGTCATACCAAGTCTTGACATAGCACATGAAAGAACAGAACTTAGAAAGCACTTCTACATATTGTCACTGGATCTTTGTTAACGTATTTTACATTATTATCATAATATTTATTCTTGGTTAAGAACCCACCCTCTCTGAATATATTTAAGGCAGATCGAAAGACTAAGAGTTCATAAAAGCTATATATCTTGTGTTTCCCACATTAAAAACTCTCAACGTCCTCCTGTGACCTCCAGATGACCAAACCCTCAACTATCATCTGTGAGTTAGTGGTCCTGCTTGCATCCCTGATGAAAGTGAGGGCAAACACACAGCATTCAAGAAGAGGGACAATCTTATTCTAGAAAAACTAAGAGATCCTGTCCAGTATCTAGCAAGTAAAAAATAGATTAGCACAAAAAAAATTAGAAAAAATGAGCAAAAACCCCATTCCACGCATATTTAGCTTGTGTGGTTAAGATATAAAATTCCACCCACGAAGTCACAAGGCTGAGTGGGGCAGGACAAGGTGGAGAGAGATTTGTAAGTGGCACTGGCAAGGTGTTGCATGTTCACCTGGGAGATCTCTGAACTTAATCCAACAGGTACATCATGGAACTTGGAAGTGGCTGTGAAATCACGTGCACTACTTTAAACACACCACTTTAAGGATGTGATGCTGCTGCAGTCCTCCCCGTCTCTTCCAGTCACCCACTTCCGTGACAAAAACCTAGACAGGAGGCTGCCAACCCAACTGCAGCCAAAACCGCAGAGAACACAACAGTGTCTGGAGAGCTTGAAAAGGCTGCGTGTTTGACTAACAATCTTGGTCAATTTTTACTTGAATACTTAACGAAAATGACGTAGTTTAAGATAACTAACTATATAAGATGGAAAGGTTTATAAGTAGGCGGAGGAGGAGATCATATCACCCAAAGATTTAAAGGGAAAGCCATAGGTCATTCATACCAGGATGTTCCACAGGATTGATGAATCATATAGACAAAAATCCCAGGCCACATGTTTTCAAAAGGCCCAATGTCAAAGTGGAATCTGAAATCAGAAGACAGTACATTACTGGCCACAGCTAGGCTAAGCACAGCCTGTACAGAGCATCACTACACCATCTACCTAGAAACCTAAAGGATGGGTCTCATCCCTTGCTGCCTGTCTTCTCAGACACATCTGCCTGTACTAAGAGGTTGGCTGGGGAATCGCTATGTTCCTGCAAGAGTGATGTAAGCCAACAACTAAGTTATTAAATAATCTGTTAGTGCGGATGCTCCTGTTGTTACAGAGTGTTTAATACAAATATATATTTATATTTTCATTTATCAATCATGGGGGGGCTTATCAGAAAGATTTTAGAGTTGAAATTGTTCAATATATTTAAGCTGAAATAGGAATTCAGTAAGTATTAATGGCCAAAGTTACTATGATAATAAATATGTTTTCATTCAATTATTTAATTGAACCTTAAAGTACGATCAATGGTATTAGTAAAAGATGATATTTCCAATTACCAGGCAACTCCCAGCACAAGAGCAGTGGTTGCTCCTACAATGAGCTACAAACCACCACAGTCTGCCCCTTGTACAGAGAGAAGGCTTTGCACATGTGATATTAAACGCCTTTTGGAAAATGAAATGTTGCATGGTACAAGAGTAATAAGAAATGTTGACATTTGAGTTAATTTATATCAAATTCTCTTTGATTTTTTTTTAAATAAGAACTCACTGGAGAGCCCAGGTTGGCCTCTAACTTGTGTTCCAGCTGCCTCGGGCTCCTAAGTGCTGGCACTGCAGGTACATGCCACCCACTGGGTTTCGCACTCAGATTCTGTTATTTAAGGCAGCCAGAAGGAGAAAATGGCAGCACATGAAACGACATGACATGTCTGCAGTAACCTTGGCTCTCGTGGGTGACATGTCTGCAGTGACCTGGCTCTCATGGGTGACACATCTGCAGTAACCGTGGCTCTCATGGGTGACATGTCTGCAGTAACCTGGCTCTAATAGGTGACATGTCTGCAGTAACCGTGGCTCTCATGGGTGACACATCTGCAGTAACCGTGGCTTTCATGGGTGACACGTCTGCAGTGACCTGGCTCTCATGGGTGACACATCTGCAGTAACCATGGCTCCGATATGTGACACGTCTGCGGTAACCTGGCTCTAATTCCTTGACCTGCTCTGCTTATTTCAGTGAAAAGGGCGGAAGACACGCTCACAGCTCGATCTCCCTGCGGATGCGAGCCGGCAGGTGGAAGCTCATGAGGGCCTGCCACTCCTCGGCGGTGCAGATGCTGTGGTAGGACAGCTTCTCCATGGTCACCCTGTAGATGCACTCCGAGTGACGGATCCTGTGGTACATCTGGAAGGCAGAGGAGAGGAAGTGAAGGAACGGCTCAGGACAGCAAGGACCATTCAGGCTTTGGAGAACTGCGGCTGAAGTCCAGGAGACTCCTTGATGCCCGCGGTGCTGACACGCTGCACCAGACACACAGAGCCTTGAGGAAACAAAGCAGTACTAAACCTTACGTCTCCAGTTAAGTCTAACTTAATTCCGTAACAAATATCCTTACCAGACAATCTCCTGGTAAAGAAATCAGTATTTGTCTTTTTAAATATAATGTCCTATATTATAGCTTTCACCTTTTAAAGACTTTTTGTTTTTAATCCTGTGTGTGTGTGTGTGTGTGTGTGTGTGTGTGTGTGCGAGCGCGTGCACGAATCTGTGCATGTGAGTGCAGGTGACCATGGAAACCAGTGGCCTTGAACCCCTGGATCTGGAGTTGCAGGTGGCTATGAGCTGCATGAGTGGGTGCTGGGAATTGAACTCAGGTCTTCTGGAAGAGCAGTATGTACTCTTAACCATTGAGCCACTGCTCCTGTCCCGTATCTTTAAAGACCAATAACAAAAGTGCTGAAAATAAAATGTTCACTTGTGTTATCAGTAAATGACTTCATAATCTTAAAGAATAGAAACTCTAAAGCACTTCTAAGTTTGCAAAAACAGAACTTTGATATTTGCATGTCACGCAGATGTCAAACCCCGCTTTCTTGGGAAAATTTCGTTTCCTTCCCCCACGCTGACGTAACTGTATATTTTCTCTATTCTTAAGTGAACCAAGTTGGGGTTTTACTGGCATTACAGCAATGAAATTAAACATGGAACACAGATGTGTATAATGTCTGGGACTATGTCCATGGAGTAGATGCATGAAGAATGGCTACACTAATGGCAAATGGAGAGCTTTGCGTGTGGCTAGTGGTGAGTGCTTGTCCAGCATGGGCCAGTCCTGCAGGTGGGGAAGGGAGCTACCTAAAAATGAACAGACACATTTGCTGTCCTGTTGAGTGAATAAGACCATATGTACTTGTATGTATGCGAATATAGTTTTACAAATAATTATAAACTAAAGTGAGATAAATTTAAAAAGTAACAGAGTCAGTGAAATAACCAGTGTTTCCACGTGTGAATTAGTAACTATGTGAGATTAACTTGGAAAGAAATCCTAGGGGAATAGATGACCGCTCTTCAAGAATTGTTGTATGTGACACAAAGGTAAGACGGTCACTTCCTTAAGGGCTCGCATTTCTCTATAATCCCAGTACAGGGCAGCTCACTTTCTACAGGTAAGATTACAGCCATATTCTACATGATAATACGAACAAGAAGAGTTAGTGTACTTTCTCTATGTCACCATTTAAAAACATTTAGAATAGTTTTGACAATCTCAAAGCCCTCTAGACCTCAGCTTCCTAAAACAGTGGGCTGTGACCCTGTGTGGGGTCACATAGCTGAAGGTGGGGCTCACAAAACAACTGGCACTAGCAAAAGGTGTCTGGACACATAACAACCAAACATTCATTCAAAAGCAAATGCATCATGAATCCTGGGTGTCTGCCACAGTGCTCGCACATGTTGCGTCATGTGACTTCACTGCAGACTTGGTTGTGAACCTTGGTTGCTCACACTTTGCAATATGCAGGATGCAAAACCAGGCATCAGAGACACAGAGTTTTTACTGCACACAGAAACAGTCCTCTGCTCTTAAAGAAACATAATGGTTTAACTATTTTAATCATTATTCTTCAGCATGGAAGGATCAAATTGGTATATCATTGGATTGTACTGTGTTTGAATGTTTGAGTTTAAAGATTGCTGTTTGGATTGCTCACTTGAGTTTCAAAAGACAAATTTCAATTACTTTTGACTTGAGATTAGTACAGATTCTAATCAATTTACGAAATGGTCCTGAACATACTTCTGTCAGATTGTACTACCTATTTTGTGAAGTAGCTGTCTTCCATTCCCAGGCTCCTGCAGAGACCTGTGTGAACCTGAATCAGTCCAGCTCTTACGTTAGATCACAGACATGTGACCCCAGGCCCCTTCCCATTCCCAGCTCCCAAAGGGACCCACGCAAACTTGCACTGCCCCAGCACCTACCTAAGGTCAGAGAGGTACAACCCCAGGCTCCCTCCAGCCCCCAGCTTCTGCCCGGCCCCTAGCAAATTCTCACTGGCTCTGGCACCTGTTTGAGGTCAGAGACATAGGATCCCAGGGCCCCTCTCTTCCTCGGGCTACTGATGAGATCCAGGCAAACTCAGATTGGTCCCAGGGCAACTGTCTGAGGTCACATGCTCACAACTCTAGGCCCTCACTCATCCTTAGACTCCTGATATGACCTGGAGGAACTTGGACAACCAGAATATCCATCTGAGGTCAGAGACTGGTGGCCCCAAGTCTTGGCCATCCCCATGTTCTTAACAGAGAGTCTGTATCTCTCTCTCTCTCTCTCTCTCTCTCTCTCTCTCTCTGTGTGTGTGTGTGAGTCAGCTAGCCTAGCGAGGATCACAACCCTACTGCAAACCAGCGGTGATTGCCTCATGACTGAACTCCAAGCATCACTCAGCAGATTCCCATATCAGCTAAGCCAGGGTAACATCAGAGCTCCAAATGTCCGTTCACTGCATGTAGACCAACAACTTACACCAAAAGACTCAACCATCAAACCAACTCTGGATGTATAAATCCCAACACAAAAACATGAAGAACAGAAAAAAGCAAGACAATATGTCTCCCCCCAAATTACCATAGTAATGGTCCCTAATGAAAGCCACTTAGAATAGACTCCAGACAAAGAATTCAAAGGAATTATAAATATGTTCAGGAATTCAAAGAGGACATAAATAAATGTATGAATGAATTTTAAAAGGACAGAGGTAAACCTGTGAATGAATTCTAAAGGAACATAAACAACTGAATGAAATAAGGAAATCAATTCAGGACACAAAAATAGAATTCAGTAAAGAGACAGAAATAATGTACACAAACCAAAGTGCAATGAGCTCGAAATGAAAAATTCAGTAAGCCAAGAAGCTCAGTGGGAGGTCTCACCAAGAAAATGGATCATGCTGAGGACACACTGCAGGTACTGAAGACAAGCTAGAGAAACCGGATTAGTCAAGGAAAGTGATAAACACACACGCACGCACACACACACACACACACACACACACATTAGTACATGCAAGATATTGGGACACCATGAGAAGCTCAAACCTATGAATGGTGGAGAGAGACGAAGGAGAAGAATCCACGCTAAAGCCACAGAAAGTATTTTCAATAAAAACATATAAGAAAAATTCCCAAGTCTAGAGGAAAGGATGCCCATCCAAGCATAAGAGGCACAGAACCTAAATAAATGGCCAGAAGATAAACTCACATGTCATGTTCTCATCAAAGCACTAAATACACAGAACAAAAACGCGTGTTGAAGGGTGCAAGAGAGAAAGCCTGTATCGCACACAAGGGTGGGCCCGTCAAATACCTATTTTCCAAATCAGTAAATGAAATACGCTTCTTTGGAACAACAGTTATTTTCTCATTCCACGTTAACATCACAAGAAACTTCTTAAATGTTGATTTCTTTGAGTATGTCTTCTAAATGACAAAATATTGACTGTCATTTATCCTCAGCAAAGCATAGCAAATTTAAAACATGTCTTCTTGTAAAGGAAGTATGTGTAAACAATGTACAAATTCAACAGATTTTCCAGGTTCTGTCCACAGACTGCAAATCCAAATCCACGGGTAGCAGGAATGTAAAAGCAGGTTCACGTCATCATCATCGTCAACTGATAAAATGAGCTGCCTCCCAGCAAGGCTCAAGGGAGCTTGACGGGTGCTGACAGGCATTGAAAGCAGGACAGCACAACGCCGCCTCCTCCATGATGCAGAGGCCCATGCTGTCATGGGAGACCAGGTATCCTGGACAAGACAAGATCATCTGGGACGTGAGCTTTCCAAGAGGTCCTCCATGTGCTGGCAATCCACAACATGAAGTTTCATCAGTACTGTCTACCTGAAATCCTCCAGGTACAATTTTGCTAACTTCCTCCCACACCTCCTGGTCTCTGCTTTGCCTCCCTCCTGTTGGGAACTGAACACTCAGGCTGCCTGTGCCCCTGGAGAGCAGCCGATGGAATGTTTTCAAAGCCTATCCTGGCTGATCCAGGGCCGAGGCACAGGGAGTTCGGCCCCCGGAGAGCAGCTAAGGGGGTATCGGCAAGGCTTGTTCTATCTGACCTGGGGTTGAGCCTGTGCAGGTCAGTCTCTGATAGTCACTCTCCAGGTAGATCTGCTTGGGTTCTGCTTATACAATTACATATTATTAACGAAACTGTTCCCAGGTACATGTCTTTGTCTTAGATGTTCTGCTTGGCTGCTGCTGACACAAGTACATGTGATTACTGAAGCTGTGCGGTTCAGAGGAACTTGTGGTTTTGTGCTATATTTCTATAGTAGATTCTTTCCTGCTTTGAGACAAGGTATAAAAGCACTGTTATCCTGCAATAAAGTGCCTGCCTGGTCATCAGCCTGCAGGTCCTGATTCAGCTGTCAGTGTCTTTTGTCCTTAATCCCCACCCTTCCCACTCAGGTTTTAGGATCCTCTACAGTTGGACTGCGGCACCGTCTAGAAATGACACCACAGGCTCTGGCAGGAAGGTCAAGTCAACAGGATTATTCAGCATTTACTACAATGGAATTCCCTGTGATTCAATGAAATCCTATGATTAAGAAACACTAGTAGCCATGTCTCCACTGGGCACAAAGACCACAGCAGTAGCTATGCACATCACTCGAGGTGAACTGGCAAGGAATTCCCTGTGATTCAATGAAATCCTATGATTAAGAAACACTAGTAGCCGTGTCTCCGCTGGGCACAAAGACCACAGAAGTAGCTACGCACATAGCGATCACTCGAGGTGAACTGGCTATTCTCAACCTCCCGCAAGGTACCAATTTGACTGCCATTTTGGAAGTTTATGACCTATAATAAGAATAAATGTATCTACTTTTTA